GCGCTATGCCTGCTGTCTCTGGGTGGCCCCCGGGCTGTGGCCCAGGGGCTCTTGTTTGGTGTTTATGTCTCTGGGGGACAGTGTGACTCAGCGGCTAAGGCAAGGCCACAGGGAGGACACACCCGCTGGCTCTGGGGTGAGGAGCGGGGGTGGCAGTCGGTGCCCTGCAGCAGCGTGTGGCTCCGAGCCCAGCCTTGCCCAGCCCAGCTCCCTGGCCTCGGTTTTCCCAGCCGGGCACTGGGTACAGCCTTCCACCCAGTGGAGCAGGAGGGTTCAAGAAGAGGGAGGTGGAGCCTCGGGAAGGGGTCAATGAAAGCTCATTCTGGGGGTGCCGCTGAGGTCACCTAGGGGAGGGGAGAGACCGAGGCTGGCGGACAGTGGTCATCTTGCATGACTGACACAAGGAGGACACAGAGGGGCAATGGGGGCTCCAGAGACTTGGCTGGTTTCCCCCCAGGCTCCTCCTGCAGGTAGGGGCTGGGGGCTCTGCAAGCCAAACGCCTGCCCACTTCAGCTCCAAGCACAGCACAGAACCATCCTTAGTCCAGGGACAGGCAGGGAGCAAGACCCCAGCTCCTAGCTGAGTATGCGTGCCATGACCAGGGCCCAGGCTGGGGGTCCGCGCACCTGGAGGACAGCGTCGGGGCGAGGGTGGAGCCCTGGCTGAAGTGGTCCAGGGGAAGCCTCAGGCTCCTGTAGACCACACAGCCGCCTCCGCACCTGAAGCGCTGTGGGCTGGCCCCATAGGAGCGAACTGAGGACGAGGAAGGAGCAGGGCTCGCCAGGCCCTGGGTCTGCAGCGCTGCCCTATGGAGCCAGGCAGGCCCGCCCGACCTTGGGAATCAGTCCACGTGTGAAGCAGGCACAGGACAGACAGTCCACCCTGTAGACAGGACCAGAGAGAGGGCACACAGGCCCGGCAGTGACAGCTCCCCAAGGTCTCTGAGCAGGACACTGGTCATGGGCCCACAGCCGTAATGCAGGAAGGACCTGAGGCAGAGACTACAAGCTGTGTGACAGGCCAGGACACTGAGGGACAGCCCCTGCCGAGGACGGTCCTGCAGTGAGGCCAGAGAGGCGGAGGGCCCACGCCTGTCACCTCCACTCCCCGCTGTCTCGGTTGCCCATCTGTGAGATGGGGAGCCCCATGCACCCCACCTGCCCCGGCACAGGCAGCCACGAGGTGGGCCAGCAGCTGCGCCCCGTCCCCGTTGGCTCCTGCACCACCCAGCGTGGGACTGCAGTATTCTCGCCCGGTTCGCCACCTTCCAGAGCTCTGGCTCCTGCACCCCAGAAACATGTTTTCAAGGCCTTGGGCTGAAGGCTGTCCCAGAGCTGCCACCGGCTGATAGCGACAGGAAACATGCTGGCCACACGTGGCCTTCCTGATAACCCTGGCGGCTCCAGCTCCCACCCTCCCCTCCCCGGCTCGTATCAGCTGCAGCAAGCATCTGTGCTCTGGGCTGGGGCTCCACCAACCTCCCTACCCTCGGCCGTGCTTACAAACTTGAACACGGGTGGGACAGGCGGGCCTGGAGGAGGCAAATGCTGAGGGACCTCCTCTAGCTCAGCCCCCAGGGTCACAGCTCTTCCCAGGCCAGAGGACAATCTCTGGGGTCAGGGGGAGACCAGGAGGCAGAACCTTCTGGACATGCTGAGTCAGACATGGGAGAGAGGGAGCGGAGGTTCGAGTGGCTTAGCCAGCGTGGGGGTAACGGAGATGAGGCTGCATGTCTCTGAGCCAAGCTCTGCTCTGGGGGTCCGAGAAGGGTGGACGTGGGGACCGAGAGCACCAATCATGGGAGGTCAAACCCGTCACCTTGCGCTTCAGCTCAGCTCGGCCTCCTCACCAGCACCCATGTCCCCCTGGACACCAACAGCCCCTTGGTCCTGAGCAGCCGTGGCACCTCCTCCCTGCATGGCCGTGCAGTGCCTGCCAGTGGGGTCGGTGGGTGCCCCTCCCCAGGCTGCAGGCCACAGTGCGGTCTCCGCTGCCGCCCCTCGCCGCTCCCTCCCCCGCCCTGTGGACCCTACCTCAGGGCCTTGGCACTTGCTGTCCTCTCTGTGGGGGACCCTGTCATCCTCACTCTGTGACTTCCTTCACAGGCTTGCGTCTGAGATGGTCGTCGGCCACCCCGAACTCCACAATGACCCACTCAACTCCAGCACCAAAAGAGCAAGCAATTGAAGAAATGAGAATTTATCAACCTCTCCAGCCCAACTCCTCCCTTGTAGAAGCCCCCACGATTTCTCGAGCCGTGTTCTGGGAGATGCTGGGCTGTCACCTTCTGCCCGTCCCTGGGGCGACTGGCACGGACACCTGCCATGCGCCCTTGGCAACCCTATTCAGGTTCTCCTGGGGCATTTCCTTCCTCTTGGGAAACTTCCTCTTCCCACTCATGGAGGGGCCCGCCTGCCCGGCCGCAGCCCCCAGGCCTCGCCCCGAGCAGCCAGAGCACAGCACACCCTCTCCGGACGGAGGTGCCTGGTGGGCGCCACTCCTCCCACATCAGTGCCAGTACGTGGCTGGTCTGTCCTGTCAGCCACGCCCAGCGGCCAGCGGAGGCCGGCCAGGGCAGGTTCGAGAACAGCTGTCGGCGAAAGCCCCGCGCCAGAGACGCATGCCACATGTCCTGAGGTGAGGCTCCCACTGCGAGAGGAATGGTACAGACCAAGTTCTTCCTTAAAGAAAACAAGTTTTATTTTTATAATCAGAACATTCTAATAAAAATATTATTATAATATTAGCTACCTTTATTTTCTGGGCCTTGACTCTGTACCAGGCGTGCCACGGAGTGCTTGCACGCTCAGCTCCCTGAGGTAGGTCTGAAGGAACACCCCCGCCGCCCGGACCCCTGCCGGGAGGCCCCGTCTCTTCCCTGCGTGAGCCCCCAGGAAGGCTGGTCTACAGCAGGCAGCGACAGGAGTGGGAGGCTGGGGCACACGGTGGCCCTGTGCCCGACCTCCCCCAGGGCCCGAGCAGCACCCAGGCTGCAGCCCACCCTCCTGCCCTCCACAGCGGTGGGGAGCGGGGCTGGCGGGAAGGGGACAAGGATCACAGTGTTGCAGTGACAGACCCTGAGACAACTCGCTGCGTCCACCGGGCAGGCGTCATCAGACGGTCACCCAGGCAGCCCCGAGGGCCCCATCTGCTGACGTGCACCTCGAGGGGCTCCTGGCCTGCGGCTGGCAGACACCTCACTACACAGAAATACTGTCGTCACCTCCGTGGGCAGAACCATCAACAAAAGCAGGTCTCTCAAAGTCAAAAACAGGTTTGGTGGTGGCAGTCTCCACTGGGAAAATAGACCGGAACTCTGAAATCACCTTAGTAGCAAAACAACGGCCCGAAGAAAAGGCTGCAGTGCTCGGACCGCGGGGGCACAGGCCCCACCCCGCCCCTGGAGCTTCTGCGGGTGGCGGGGGACATTCACAGGGCGCGAGTCGGTCAGGCGCCCCTCGCGCCCAGGGCGTTCACAGCTTGTGTGGCTGAGTCCCAACAGCCACGCTCCTCTCCCCAGGCCGAAGCATCTCTGCGCCACCCACGCGGCAGCGGGGGTCTCCAGAGGGCATGTGATGGCCGGACTGGGTGGGCCAGGCTGGGCTTCCGGAGCACAGGTGGAGGAGGGTGCAGGGAGAGGCCGCCATGCCGGGGAGCAGGGGCCGCACCTCTGAACAGCTTCCATCGGTCTTTCTTTGTAAAGTCCCCCGACTCGCGACGGGACCCAGATGCGGAGGGAAGCAGTCTCGGGTCGCCCTGGGGTGCGGACGGGCGCCCCAGGTCTGCAGAGGCACAGATGCTGGTTGCCCTCGGAGCTCGCCAGGCCGGCCTGGGTCTGTCCGCGTGGGGGCCGGCGGCCCCGGACGGGAGGCCCTCACTGCATCCTGTCGGGCTGCGGCTGCGGCGCCTGGGACTGCACGAAGGGGGTGCCCGCGGGGGGC